TTGCTCGCTGGCTGGCCGATTCCGTGGGTGGGTTCGATGCCTGCTTACCTAGGTAGGACCTGTGTTGTGGATTCTACATAATCTCCAACCGAGGGTTTTTCCATGAGGCCAATTTCTGCCACTTGGGGAAAATGAAGTGCTTTTAGAGACGCACAAGGTTCTTTGTTGGGCAGAACTCTCAAAATGCCCCCAGGCTGCACCTTGGAAACAAATGTCCTGGAAGTGGAAAAGATGCAGAAACCAAGGAGTTCTTGTTTCAGGTTCATCTGTAAAATATTTTGAAAAAAGAAAATTAAGGGGAGGAGGGCCAAATGGAACACAAGGGACCCCCTCCCCTCCCCTCCCCCACACAGCCAAACCAAAGTGTGGGGCTCCTTCACTGAAAATGGTGGTGGTGGGGGGGGCTGTACAGTATTCCTCCCCTCCAGAGCCCCTCTGCTGGCACAGATGGGGATGTCTGTCGCTCAGCACCTTCTTCTTCCGGAGGGGAGGCCAGGAGCCCCGAGGGCATGGCTCTCGGCCAGCTGAACTGCCTCCAAGAAGGGCCTGAGAACTGTTCCAGGATGGGAAGCGGTGGGGGGGGGGCGAGAGAGTTTCCAATCCCCCCCCCCCCCATTTGGTTTAGGACCCATGATATTCCGGGCCAGGAAAGGAGGAGGCAGCGGGTCAAGAGCAGCAGGAGGGCTTCCATTTCCTCTTGCTTCCACACCTCTTTGAAAGTGTAGTTTTGCAAATGCTTCCATTTCCGCTTGCTTCCACTTGGGGGTGAGGGGGGGTGTTGTTTTGTGTGACCAAGGGGTAATCAACACCTCTTTGAAAGTGTAGTTTTGCAAATAAACAAACATTTCAATGTATTCTCGAAGGGATCTGATGGTTGTTGTGGGTTTTTCCAGCTCTTTTGGGAACAGCTTTTGTCCTTTTCAGGAGACAGGGTGATCAGCATGAATTGATCAACAACACATCCACAATAAAAACACGCAGATCAGGACAAAAGCTTTATCCCACAGCTATAAACTGATCAACAATACATCCACAATAAAAACACGCAGATCACCCTATCTCCTGAAAAGGACAAAAGCTTTATCCCACAGCTATAAATACTCAACTGTCCAACAATCAGCAACAGAGCATGGACAAAGTTCCAACTCCAATCCTCTGAAGATGCCAGCCACAGAGAAACGTCAGCAAGAACAACCTTCAGAACACGGCCAAAGAGCCCGAAAAACCCACAACAACCATCAGAGAAGCATTTCACCTTTAATCGAAAGAGGGAGCATTTCCTAGAGACTCACCAGGCAGCCTCTCAGCCAGAAGGGGGCTGGCGGTTCCCCCTCCCTTGAATTTCCCTGGAGATCCCTTGGTTCCATTTCACGGTCCCCCTGTTCCTACCCTCACCCCCACTTTTCACCAATCCTCGCCTGGGGAGAGGAGGCTCCGCTCCACAAAAAAACTGGCAAGTCTTTTAAGCTGGCGCTGTGGGCTAAACCGCAGAAGCCTGTGCTGCAGGTTCAGAAGACCAGCAGTCGTAAGATCAAATCCACGCGACGGAGTGAGCGCCCGTTGCTTGTCCCAGCTCCCGCCAACCTAGCGGTTCGAAAGCATGCAAATGCAAGTAGATCAATAGGGACCACCTCGGTGGGAAGGTAACAGCGTTCCGTGTCTAAGTCGCACTGGCCATGTGACCACGGAAGATTGTCTTCAGACAAACGCTGGCTCTATGGCTTGGAAACGGGGATGAGCGCCGCCCCCTAGAGTCGAACACGACTGGACAAAAATTGTCAAGGAGAGCCTTTACCTTTACCTTTAAAGAGAAACCAGCTTTTGGATGGGGGTGGGGTGGGGAAAAATCAGCTTTTGGATGGGGGTGGGGTGGGGAAACAGAGGTCATGGCCATTGTTTGGGATCAACCCACATATCATCCCCCTCAAGCAGGGCTGGCTCCCATCAAGGCATTCTTATGATTATTATGAGTTTCCCGATTCCGGTGTGTCTGTGTGTGATTTCTTTTTCACGTGTTTGCTCAACAGTGGGGCTACCTTGTTTTTGTGTCTGTTTATCTGCTGTGGTTTTAAGGGAGTGCTTTTCTTTTCTTGTTGTTGCTTCACAACCAAAGAGCCTGTTTGAAACTATTAATAAATATCTGCAGAATCCATTTAAGTTGCAACATTTTCTCAATAGAACATGTATCATACACAACTGAATGGTGTACTGTTCAAAAAAGACTGCTTTACACTGCATGAAAATGAGCTTCCTACTCACCTTCTTTCTGGGAACCACAGCTGCTCCCAAGAAGATGGGGCCCGGAGGCATCAGGTGGGGCTCCGACAGACCTCCTGGGGGAGGGTGGGTCCGCCTTCAGAGCCCTCCCCCCTTGCAGGCAGACAAGCTGGCCCGCCCCCAGGGGCAAAACGTGACTCAGGCTGGCGGAGCTGCCAAGGGGAAGGCTGAGCCAGCAGATGCATTTAGATGTGAGCCTGTCCCTTCCACAGGCCCTGGGACAGCAACAACACATCACGCGAAATGCCTTTGGGCCCAGATCATCCCTCCTGGGAACAGTCAGGAGGGTGCCATTCACGCCCCCCCGTCCCCGCCAGCCCAGCCCACCTCCGGACAGCCCAAAAGTCCAGCGTGAAGCCAAAGCACATTCCAGACATCTCTGTTTTGGCGCTGGGCCTGAGATCAGAGATGGGGGCAAAGTGTTGTGAGCAGGCTGGAGAACCAAACCTTACATGGGCGAAGCCTCGGGGAGGGAGGATCGGAGGGGCCGGGCGTGTGGGTGGACACGTGCCGGGAATCAAGGGGTTATTAATAAACAGCTGGTCAAGACCCAGGCGTGGGTCTGCCTCCTCCCCATGTGGGTCCGGGTGCTGTGGCCCAGTCTGGCCCCTGCAACGGGGGGTGGTGGTGGTGTTGGTGTTGGGTGTCTTCCCCCCCTCCTCCTTCCAGGACGGGTCTGGTGGCTGCCTGGCGCCCGGAGGCAGAGGCGGGGCCTGCCCTGCCCCTCGGCCCGTCCCGCTCCTCCCAGGGTCTCCGCTGGGTTTCCCTCTGCTAGAGGCCTGGGCTCTGGGGTCTCTAAGCAGAGGGGGGGGGTTCGTCCTTGGCCCCTGGAAGCCAAGGTCCAGCTGGGGCCCTCCCCCGCTTTGCTCCCTGGCCCTGGGGACCCCTTCTGAGGCCACCGTCCTTTGCAGCAGCCAGGCCCGGCACCGTCTTGTCCCCAAGGGCACCACATCCACACACTTCCGGCCTCGAGGGGACCTTTTCTATTTTCCTGTCAGGCCAGAAATTTTCCACTTTGGATTTGGAGAGGTTCTACGCAGCAGGCTGACTCCCAGCCGGCACACTCACATTCTTTTTTTGGAAAGCCAACGGCGGCTGAGAGAGTTCGGCTGAGGAGCCAGTATTATCAAGGCCGGCAAGAATGTGAGGCACGAGAAGGCTGACTCCTCTCTCTCCCTCTCCCTCTCTCCCCACATACTCCCTCTATTTGTTTGCCCCCCACCCCCACCCCACAGGAGAAACTTTCCACCGGGAGGGACAGAGTGATACTGGGTGCCCTAAATTTAGACGCTGTGACAAGGGCCCTGGAAGGCGGCCCAGAACCTCCCAGGGCTTTATAAACGGGGCTGCCACCGAGGACCCCACAGGGCAGCTGAAGCTGCTGAGTCCCAATTCCAGGAAGGGGAAGATAACGCCAGATCTCGCACACCGCTCCCCATCCTCACTGAACGGGGTGGCTGGCTCTGAGGATCACACCTCCTGCTGAAAACGTCCTGCAGCCACTTACACATTGGAAACGGCCCTCTGTGTCGCTTGGTGCTGCCGCTGCCGCCGCCACCGCCGCCGCCGAGCTCTGGTGCCAACATCCCCGACACCTCCTTAGCTGAACTTGAGCGGGCAGGGCTCCATCCATGGAGAAGGCCCATGGGCTATTTGGCGACAAATTTGGAAGCTTCATGCGGCCATGCAACGAGCCCCTAAGCTTCTCAGGCAAGTCCTCTCTGTATGTGGGGGTGGTGCAGGGCGGGAGAAAAGGTGGGGAGCAGCAGCCAGGAGCCCCAGGGGGAAGGGTGAGTTTCCTTTTAAAAAAATGAAGCACCACAAATGTTTTGTCTTGGTTCCATGCAGCAGGATGAGAGAGAACCTGGTAGCCCCTGAAAAACGTCCATTTCTTTGTTTGCTGGAAGCCTTTCCACCTCAGTCCTCAGCCAGATAAAGATCCCTACCCACCAGCAGACAGCCTTGAAAGATGCAGCGCCAAAGGGAAAAGGGGAAAGCAGGCCACCTGTAGAGTGACCTGGGTGGGGCCTTGGGGTTCCCCAGGAGCGGCCTGAGAGCATTGCTTCGGGCCCGGTGTGGCCCCTGCTGATGGGCATCGGGGGTCCTCTGGGGCCGGAGGCAAAGCAGGGGGACGTGTCGGTGACCCTTTGCCCGACTCTTCTGCCTGGAGGTGCTGGAGAGCTTCTGTTTGCACCTGTTCTTCCTCTGGCTAGCAAGGCTCCTCCTCGGCTTCTCTGGCCTCAGGTTCTCAGGCGGCTGACGGGACCCTCTGGGCATTGACTGCCTCTCCAGCTTCTGGCAGTGGCATGTGATCCTCCTGTGGCTGTTCATCGGCTGCATTCAAAGAAGCGACTCTGTGGCCAGCTTGAGCCTTCAGAACAAAAAAAGAGGGGGGGGGGAAACGGGACTTGAGGCCAACCAGCAGCGCCAGCCTCGGGCTCAGCAGGGCCTCCCTCTGGAGCCCAGCCTGGCTGTGCTGACTTGGTGAGGATCAGGCCCAGACCCTTCTTCGCACACAGGGGCCTCTCCTGGTTGCCCTTTTCCTTGTCCCAGGCAAGGGCCCCCAAAGAGGAGGTGGTTGACAAGAGGATGGGCCATTCTGGTCTTGATACCCGAAGGCGCACTGGGGGATTCTGGAAGTGGCCCTCCACAAAAAAAAAAAAAAAAGGATTATTTCTCCTCAAG